GATATCTGCAGTTTAAGGTACCAGTATTCGAGAGACGCATACGTTCCTATCATGGATCTCGCACTCTCAGCCCATCCAACTAAACGCTCGTATCGAGAGATCCTCGAACTCGACGCGAAAATACGACACCTTCCAGTAGCCAAAACACAGCCTTCTGAAGACCCACTCAAAATTTTCTACTCTAACCAATATCTCAATGCTGTAATGCTAACTCTTCATCGATCAAATTTGGCTCAGGCTATCCTCGACGGCACTGCCGCTGCTAAAGATGGCAAACCGTTTGATCCATTCGACTCTACGCAGACGCCTTTTGCGTCTTCCGTCAGCGCTGCATACCATGCTGCAGAAGCTATCTCCCGCGATTTGTATGACCTGGCAGAGAAGCACTTTGAATATGCAGGAAGGGTCTGGTTTTTGACTTATCATGGTTTCAGTGCAGGAGTAAGTTCCATTCCCAGTGAGATCTCTTTCTACGGCTAACATTTCACCTACAGCTCGTTTTAGGTGCCCTGGCGTCTCGTGCCCCAGGATCCACTTATACCCCCAAAACTCTAATGACCCTTAGCCTTGTCGTCGATGGCGTGTTTGCGAAATACGCTCACATATCTGCTCGCCACCGTACTGCGTATCTTATGCTGCGCAAGCTCAGAACTCGCGCGGTTAGGCAGTACACGGCGTTCCTTGAAGCCAAAGCCGGTACGAGAGCTGGATCGAATCAGAGCGGAGGTGACTGCACGGTAAGTGGAAGAGGTGCTCCTGGCATAGGAAGTGGTATTGGATTCGGACCAGGCGCTGTAGATCCGAACGATCCCATGTTCCATATCAAGCTCGACAGCGATCCCGAATCGGAAGGCGAGAACGGTACTAGAAATCTACTCGAAAACTCCAACAACCCAGACACGAATCCCGTTAATCCACTTCCTACGTTTGAAAGCAAGGTCGCGTTGTTTGGTGGAACTAAGAATGTGTTGCTCAGCTTGAAAGGGAAAAAGGGCAAGTCAAAGAAGAGGACGAAGAACGCAGAGGGTGTTAGTGCGTCTGCGTCGCCGGAAAGCACGACGGATACGAATAGCAGCCAAAGTCCGGAGGCTACGACGGGCAATGCTTATCAGTCCAGAGGATTACGAAAATGCTCGTTCGAACGTCGCGACAGGCGGGAGCATGCCTTCTGTGGACACATTCAACGCGTTGGCGGGAGCGTCCAACGCTATGGATGTCTTCATGTCAGATATCGACATTCGAGATCTAGGAATGGGCTCCCAGTTTGACGGAATGGAAGGCGTCGAAGGTCTCAATGCCGACGCGTTTGGATTTCGGTACGACGATTTCGGTACAGATGCAGGAAGCGGGTATTGTCATGGGCATGGCGCTGGAGGATATCGGATTATCCTCTTCTGGCGCGGCGGGATCATCAGGTTCGACAACATATGGTGGAATCGAAACGCAGGTGAACCCATTCAGCGCGTATCAGCAGCAATACGGCGAATTTCCTGCGCGGTCGTCACTCTCGCCGGTCTCTCCCGAGGCGTCATCACCGCTGCAGCAACAACAAAGCCAGGAGACGCAGGGAAGCCCGGAGTCGCTTACAGCGACAGCTCAGGCTGCGCAGATGTATATGGGCATGTTCCCTTACAGTTCCAATACGGCGGCAGATTTAAACATGTTCTCGTCATTTTGTAAAGCAGCAGCAGCCTCAGTCGTCGCAGAATTCAATTCCACAATATCCTCCATTCCAGCAGCGGCAGTCACCGACATCTACACCCTCCCCCAACGTTTCATCTACAGCTACTACAGCTAGCTCAAAGTTCAACTACGCAAAGTCCAACATCACTTCCTACTACTGCATCGTCTCCAATACCGACATCGACATCTCCGCCTGCATTCATGAACAACCCTGCAGAACTCTATACCCGCTTCGCAGAGTTTATGGCACGGAAAGGATTAGGTCCGCCCCCTCAGCAGCAGCAGATGCCGATGACGAACCAAATGTCTCGGCAGAATCAGCAAGGATACGAGTATATGATGAATCAGAACAATAATTCATACAACTATGGTGGTGGCACGAATTCGAATCCGAATCCTGCCTTGAACAGCGTATACTCTGGTGCGCCTCCGTCGACTGCCAATGCTGAGTTCGATGCGGATATCGACGCTTTCTTGAGGTCTTTGCAGAGCTCGGGCGGTATGGGAACAGGAATAGGAGCAGGAGGCGGAGGCGGAGCAGGAGCGGGGACGGGATTGCCGTACGGTCAAGTGTATGGACAGTGACTCGGCCTTTGTCAGAGTACAGGTTGAAGTTCTGGAAGACGTCTCGATCAGATCTACATTCCAAAGTTTTCTTGTTTTAACAGCTTTGCATTCCTCCGCTCGGGTTTTTGTATTTTTAATTATAATCTGCTTTCAATACTAATTGTTGTTCTTCCAGTTCTGTGCTGTGTATGTACATAATATGTCTCCAGCTACGTATCAAGCTATCCAGCTACAAGTGCTACTTTTACTTATAAAACTAGAAGAACGTCACTGCGCATATATGCATGCTACTCGCCGAGGGGGTTCCAGAAGGAGGTGAAAGGGCTTTCCTACATAACGGTACGCGACATTCTGACAGACTCTTCGCTTGCTAAGAAGAAGCAAGCATACTTCCAGACGCTCCAAATATAGAGCTTTTACAATTACATTCCCGAACATTATCATTGCCCGATAACAATTAATAAAGGCATCTTTGTGCCTTCTTCCTGAAGGGAAAGATCTCTACATTCTATGCTAAAGTGATGTCCCGACTAACGAAAGAACTTTGTACTTACGGCAAAAAACAACAAGGTAACAGCGCCCGTGGGAGTCCGAATAAAGGTTGGCTTTGTTCTTTCATTCTTATTGTTCTCCAAAACCTCGTGGTACTCAGGTCCTTTTGTTCTTTGGATCGATATAAAGAGTACAATGAAGCGAGCAAATTCTCATTCCAGTTTTTGGGCCAGTTCTACTCTCTTTAATCGGTGAGTGTAAAAGCTAATAAGGATTGTATTTCTTGGCTAACACGCAGTAGGTTCCGTTCATTAGACCCAGCTCCGCTACACATTCGACGTCTTGTATCAAGTAATTTACGCAGCATCTTGCATCTCTCTCTCTCTTTGCATCCACGTCTTTCGATTCCACGCACATAACTCTCTCTATCGCCGGGCGATTTCTCTCTACTTTTAACGCATATTCTTCACTAAAATGGCCTTCAACCCATCCACCAGCCTTTCTGTCACTCTCGGCCATGCCATTTCTTACCTTACGAGGCCTTTAATTGTCCAGTACTCTGCTACAACCATCATCAAGCTGCAGCTTATTCTCGAAGCCAATCTTACCGCTCACTACCAGCCTCTGTGGGTAGCAAAAGAGCCTCTGCGAGGTAATTCCTACTTTCATCTCTCAGACGAGTCATTTGCTCATAATGTATCTTTAGGATCAGGTCGTCGCTGCCTGACTCTTTCTCCAGAGTGTCTGCCTCCTCGTGTGATCTACTCTGCATGCGTGGCTTCAGGTGTCCAGTGGTTTGATTGGATCGCTCTGCTCGGCGGAAGGGAATTCGACTTTTTCGTTGACCCTGGCTGCGTTTCAGTTCGCTACGGAATGAAAGGCTCACCCGACTGCAAGCTCATCACCATTTGGGCTGACGAAGTACCTTCTCCAACTGTTCCTACTCTTGCTACCAAGGTACTGCTACATTTTTCCTTCCTGGATGTACTTGCTCATTCATGTTTCACAGGGCCAGAGCCGCACAATTGCTCAGCAGCTTATGGAGAATGAATTCGACGAGGACGAGCAGATTTTCACGATGATCGCTCAGCAGACTAAATCCTCTACTTGGGGTCTGGACAAGCTTATTATCCCTACCGTCCGTTCTTCGTCGCCCTTCTCCACTGCCTCTTCCATCTCCGCCTCTTCCTCCCACTCGCGTAGCAGCTCCCGCTCGTCCAACTCGAGCTCGGGCTTCTCGCATTCCTCTTCTAACACCACCGTCTCGTCCAACGCATCTCCTTGCCAGCTGTCCCGCCGGGAACGTGCCGACAGGCTCGTGTCTTTGTTGACTCGTCCAAGACCGAGGTGACCCCTTACGACGGCGGAAAGACCACTGTGTTGACTGGCGGTGTCATGCTCGGCGGCGGCCCTACCAAGGACAGGACGAACGGCCTCAGAAAGGCAAACAACGCTTCCATCCCCCAGCAGCCTCCTTTTGGCAACTGGCGTGCGGTCCGCGTTTAATTGAATGGCTCATCACGATTGTTTTTTACTCTCACTGCTAGTGGGATATGCTTGGAACCCGAATCCTGGTGTACGGGTTCCAAACTTGCCTCCTGCTCGCCACGCTTTATCACGATCGACCCGCGTCTCTCGTGTGGAGACGACGTCTCATCATCCTTGGCTTTCTCTCGCCTCAATTCACGAAAAACTCATTAACAACAACGACGTGTCAACGGACTTTCTCTCTTTTCGCATATCTTATTTTCTCTGCATATTCGTCCTATTTGCATTTCTTATTGCATTGGCATCCTGACTCTTTTCCCTTCTCTTGCTGTGTTTTTATACGCTCATCATAATCCCTCATCGTCTTCGCAGGTTTCCGAATGTGTAGCATCTCTTTCATCACCATCATCACGTTTTACGCTAACGCTGGGTCTATCGGTCTACTGGTCCACTACTTACTCCTATTATCGTTATCCTCCAGATTTAATTCTTCCTGGCCTTTTGGTCCTCCTTAATGCTCGTTCTGCTCGGAACTTTTGTCTTGTTTTTTTATCTTGGTTGCCTGCAGCTGTGTTATTCTTTATCTGTGTGCTTTTGGCTGTATCGTATACTGTGTCTTGGTTCTTTGCTCGATCTTCGAGTGTAATGTATCGTTTTGTGCAGCTTGAGCCCTCGAATGGGTCTCGGGCTTTGCTCATTAGCTTCTATCGTGCAAATGTAAGGAAAACAAAAACAAAAAACAGAGAATCAAGCTTATGAAGCGATAATATTGGGGGTACCGCGGATCGAACGCGGGACCTTCAGAAGAATGCTTCACAGTCTGGGCTTGGCACTTCAGTCTGCTGCTCTCCCAGCTGAGCTATACCCCCGGTAATGCTTTCTTCATCCAGCTCCTCTACCACCTCGTTGTACGGTAGATCTTGCTTGCACTGATAAATCATCTCGATATTGATAAACTTTTCGGATGGACGTGGAGAATAACGAGACATTATCGATATCCTCTGCAAAATCTCCAAAATCGCCGAGTTTCGGTGAACTCCCCATCGAAATCTCCCTTGAAATTCTCTGTTTAGCAGGCTCACAGTCACAAGCAACCTATCGTGCCCTCCTCCTGACATCCAAAGTGATCTACAATCTCATACGCGTCGAATGCATCCCATTCCTTCCGATCGTGATTTCCAGGAAATCCCAGGTCGAACCTTTTATGACCTGGATTAAAGCGAGTCCACATTTGGCGCGTCGCTTGAAGCATTTATGGCTGATCCCAGACTCTTCTCCTACGGCATTTGATGATAGAACCAGGATAATATTCATCATCATAAATTGCCCAAATCTTGTCTCTCTTGCCTGTGGAATACGAGAATTGGTAGATTGGGATATACTATGCACGGCGATACGAAAGGATCCTTCCGCAGCCCCCATCCACTTCGATCTTCAACTTCCTCTCTCACTAAAACACGTCACAGTGATGGATAATGCTCCCCGCATACTTCATCAGGAGCAAGGTGACATTTTTTCACAAATTGAGACCTTGCATGTCATTGGATCCCGCGACACCCTTGTCGACTTTTCCGCCTTCTGCACTACTCCAGGTACCAAGGTACACCAACCTCGTAGAAGCCTCCTTCTCCTTCCCTAGAGGTGCATATCCAAACTATGATGGTTTTCTCTCGGGTATGTTCCTCCAATCTCCAAAACTGGCCAAAATCGCGTTTATCACGCGTACAAAACCGGGAAGCGATTCGAGGATGACCTCTTCCTCGATACAACGTTTGCTTGGGTCGAAGTTCACGCTTCTCTTCAGACCGAAGAGATGGACAGAGACGAAAATGTGGAAGGAGAATGTTGTGGATAGAGGGTGCTGTTGGAAACTGCGACAGCATGAGTCAATCCAAACTCGTTCTTGAACGGGATGCGTCTGAGCTCAGCCCGTTGTGTATTAACGATACACAATCATAATACTCTCCGGGAGTGCTGCCGCTTCCATTGCTTCATGTTGCTTCGCGGCTCCTGTAAGTGTAGCCTCTGCTTTGAGGCTCTGTCAGTGATGGTCGTCCATTGGATTCAAAAACTGTGACCGTGTTACTCACCGTGTTACTCACTAACCACCACGGTGAAACCACTACCCAACGAACTGGTGGAATCCATCCTAGAAAACTTCTATCTTGATAGAGGTGCTCTTCTCGACTGTGCACTCGGCGTAGGAAGAGCCTGGGTTTACTCTTCTCAGCAGGGGCATCTTCCGCCAAATTGTCCTCGACTTGGCACTACCTCATATCTCAAGTAGTAGTGCGGTGACGACGCCGAGGGTTTTCTAAAGGCCTTGCCTCGTCATTCGATGCAAACCACCATCTGACATCATACGTCCGGTCCTTGCTGGTGCTTAGGTTTGAGAAATTCTACGACTCGGTCGTCGGTTACCAAGAAGCAGTGTACACTGCTACAGCTAACATCATACAACGGCTTTCCAACGTTGGCGTGAATAAAGTAGCATTGCGTGTCAAATGGAATGATCTCCTATTCACTGAAAGAGGCATTGACTGACATGCTCAGGGTTCTTTCGGTAACTCAACTCTCCCTCGTTCAATTTTTTATCTTTACATTCGCAGTAGTGGCGACATTATGGCCCATCTCAAAGTGCTGAATGCTCGCCTAATTTGCGAGAATTGGGATCTGGGCTCAGATACTATGACAGGGACGATGACAACGACTGTGGTTTTCCACCTCGATCGATCCAACTCGATAGATTACAGCTCGAATTCAAGCAGGAGCTAATCGCGTTCTTGTCGCGTTCGCTACTTGGTTCAAAGACCATTTGAATTTCAAAATCTTCAATGGTTGCATATCAAAGTGGTCACAATCGGAAAGGACACTCGGTATGCTCAGGCAGCAGTATCTTGGCTCTATTTAGGCTCGAGAATTAGAGCTCCATAACGGTGCTTCAAACTCTACGTTCTTTCGCTCACTCCTGGTTTTTTTCTCATCGTTACCTTCTTAGACTCCGGAACGGACCGACTTTTCCATCTCGGGTACACGTCCAATCTACGCAGTTGCAGTAGTTGCGTTGTATATGTCTTTTGATACTCTCATGTCTTGGATCCGTGGCCTCTTCACACCACTCCGCTCTGCGTTGACACTAAGGATAACCGTGGGCTTCCTCTACGACGTCTTGTCATTGTCCTAACTGTCCTACCTGATGCATCTGCGAATCCAGTTGAAGATTTCTCTGGCCTATGCTCTGGCTCAGTGGGACGAATGGGCTTCGATCGACGAGCTGCTTTCCAAATCAGAGTTTAGTCTACTCGAAACAGTACGGTGCGCGCCTCCCAGTTCGGGGAGTCATTGAACGGGAACCTCCCACTTTTGAAGGGATCGGGGAAGCTGAAGGTCTCTTATACGATTGTAGCATGAGGTCCTGGATACTTCTGCTTTGGTATATCCGATTGGAAGTTGGGATGATTTATCTAATCGGGATGTCTCCCAATTTTCTAGGATACATATTAATCCAAAGGGCTTTGTCGGGTCTACTCGTTCGTAGCACAGACCATTCGCTGGTCCTGCGCTCCAATGAAAAACAAATGGTAGTATGTTGAAGGTTCTTCGAACTTCAATAAGTATTGAGCAAAACAAGTGAGTATAATATGATATGTTGCTCACCATGAACACCTCGAGCTCCAGAAACTCCATTCACGTTTGCATAAATTTCTGGAGGCCAAGATCGACTCTATGTCCTGCTGTGTCGAGTGAGCCCAAGTCCGCCTTTCTGTGCTCTTCCGTGCTATATTTCCTCACTCCTTGAACGACATGATCGACTCGCCACTGACTCATACATCACCTCTAGACTGTTCTGAAGGTTTGCGATGATAGGGCTCCAGCCTAATGCTGGCAAGAGGGAGCAGGAGCCTGTGTACGATCACCCGAAAGGCTGGCAGAATGCTTAGTGGAAGAGTGCGCGGTGAAAACAGGAAAAACTCACCTATTTAATCAAAGTCCTTAAATACATGAGTACCGTGCTCGAATTCAGGCCAATTTCAGGCTAATTACCAGGGTTGATACGTTGATATCAATGGTCATGGAAAAACATAGTGGAGAGTAAGTTCTGCTCCAAAGCTTGGAGCAAAAGGTTAGCGCCTTTTTGCATCCGCTAACTTTTGCTCCATACATACTGTATGTATCTACCTATCCTGTTTGGACGCTATGAGGCTCTTGCAAGGGCTCGATACGGAACAAACTTGGATGACGAGATGAAGACGAAATTTTCTGACGTTGGCCAAGGAATAATCTTGATACGATAGTAAGTTCCTTTTGGAGAAATATGGAAGTTTCTACATCATTAGCAGGACTGACGAAAAATATGACGCGAATGGATAGTAGCGCTTCATCTGAGCTTAATCCCTAGTACTTGAAGTCTCGTGGTATGTGGCAGATCCAAATTGTCTGAATACTCGCTCGACTCCACGTACTCCAACACATCCAAGCGACATTGAATTTCTGAATTTCACGGTAACTCATGGAAGTGCAACTTGATGAAAAAATACTACCACAGGAAAAAGATCGACATTCTATGTAATGGGTGTCACTGGAAAACTTGACGAAAGGATGACTGCATTTTTTGATAGCATAGCATGATTGAGCACAAGGAGTAGAGACAGAGACTTAGAATGAACGCGACACTGGAAAATTTGCGGGGTCTGCAAATAATATCTGATTCAACCTAAAAAACCTCCTCCAAGTACGTTGAAAACGGAAATGTCGAAGCGGAGCGATGCTTGACCTCGGAGCACGAGCACGTGGAAAATCTACAGAGGCGAAGCACTCCACTCCACTGAATATACAAAGGACGACTCCCGACGTCATTTCTAGCGAATGCACTATTCATTTTGGAGTGCTACCTAAACGAAAAGTATTTATTCTCTCCTTGAACAGAAGCAATCAAGCCAATATTTCTTTACCTTTACTATCGCCTTCAGGCTCTCTTCGAAATATGAAGATGGCCATGGCTGCTACTACTGTCCTCTCACTCGAAGACAAGAAACGAAACTACTCCCGCCAGATGGCAGCACATACTCTGCGCCAATGGAACTCGGTTCCCTCCGAAGTTACAGGGGTCAGTCGCCCAACCAGAACAAAACTCTCCACACGAAGAAAGTCGTCGACGAGATTCGCTCGACGAACAAACAGCAGTGATTCCGAAACAGACGAAGATACACCTATTGGCAGAAGAGTGGAGGGTGAGTAAATGTCTCTCGTTTCTTCGGAAGCCTCATGGAGTTCCTTGAAGGCGTACAGGTCAAAGACTATGGAAAACAGTCGAATGAAACAGTCGAATGCCAAAAGAAGTAATGACCAACGACATTAAAAGTGCGTTCTTCAATATTATTGCTGTTGATAGTCCGCTCATATGTGCCCGGAGTAGTGAAACCCACCCTGCATATCTCATACCAGTAACGAGTTGTACTATTAAATTTCACGACACACTGTAGCACTATAGCACCCACGTTTTCTTGGCGACGCATGATGCCGGATAGATATAATATTCTTGTTCCTTGGGTTCAATAAATAAATTACCACATAATGACCTTTTGAGTGCCCCACTGAGTGCCAAATACCAAAGGAATCGTAGATGCTCGACGCTCGATGAAAGGCTTCATCGGACCGCGCACGCCGCGCTAATTTTGATCGGCTTCGCGACGCTTTGGCAAGTTTGAATGGATTGAAATGGCCAAGATCAGTGATCCTACCTATCGTGTGCTTCTTTTCCTCGCGGCGCACAGATTCGATACCACAACTTGTCAGGTCATCGCTAGTAAGTTAATCTGGAGTAATGTATGAAACCTTCCTTTGCTAGAGCCGGATTCTAACCCTTGTA